TGTTCGGGCAACCTTTCCCTTCTGGCTCTCAACGCCTCCGTGCGGGCTTCCGACCTTTTGCTGATGGGGTCGGGGCCCTTTTTTGGTCGGGCTCGCGCGGGGAGGGCTTTTGGGAACCTTGATAGCTTTTTAGCTCCACGGCTCGGCTGTCCCGATGGTGACCTGGATGCAGCAGTGGGTCTTCCACGGCGCGTCGAACGCGGCCTGGTCGGTGATGGGGGTGGCGATGTCGCTCCTGACGATTGCGCGGTCGTAGACAGAGCCCTTGCCCTTGTCGCACGTGGCCGTGCAGGAGGGGTCGGTCACGACGGTGCCGTCCCAGCGGGTGAGCCGCAGCTTGTCGGTCCACCACGGCGGCTCGTAGTTCCAGTCGGCCAGGATGATCAAGGGGCCAGCGAGCATGTCCACGGCCGTGGAGACCGTCACGGGGATCTCCCCGTCGGCGCCCTTGTCGCCAAGGCCAGGCCGAAGGCAGGCGGCGGCAACGACGGCGCTGCCGCTCCTGGCGCGCAAGATGGCAGGGGGGGGATCCCACAGACGGCTGGCGCTAATGGGTCGGGAGGTGGCGCTCCCCATAGCCCATCGAGGGTAGCGGCCGCCGCGCCACGCCCGGCGAGTATCCGCTCGCCTCCGTGGGCGCCCTTGTCCGATCTTATGCGGCGGGGGGGCTGGAGTGGCAGCGGGCGCCCAGCCGCCCGCGGCGGGCTTCCCGCGCAGCTCGCCGAGGCCCTTGACGTCCATGTGCGGCGCGATGCTGTGGCACTGGTCGCCGATGGTGCGGAAGTAGTTCGCTGCCTGCGTGCCCCGCTCCGCGATGTTGCCGAAGTGGGTATGCGATTTGTTGCTGGACTTCTCAGCGCCGTCCCTGGCGACCGCCCCTGGCTTTGCCAGGCTGCGCACATTGCAAGCCCGCAGGTGCGCAACCCGCAGGTGCGTCTGCGCCTGCGGCGGGAGGGGGAGGAGGAAAGGGGAAGGACATGAAGTGATATGGCCCGGGGGCACCTTAACCCCGCGGGTGGAGCCAGTGACCTGGCATCACCACCCCTGCACCACTCAAGGTCGGCACCGCTCAAGGTCGGGGTCGCCCCTGTACCACTCAAGCGGGGGCGCCCCACAAGACAACTCTAGCTTTGTTCAACAAAGCTTGCCCTCCCTCGAGTGCGTCAGCCCTGCGTGAACGCAGCGCCCGATGGGATGGCGCAGTCAGGGCGGATAGAACCTGAAGGCCCTTATCTGGTCAAGCTGGATTGTCGCGAAGACCGAGGAGGGTCCGGGTCGTCAGAATGAACCGAAACTCACATTGTTTCCCCCTCCTCTGAGCAGGGGCTGTCCTACTCATGCTTCGCATAGCTTTTTGGGGGTTCCTCTTCGGACCCGCTCGGGTCCTCGCTGAACCCTCTCCAGGGCTCCATCAGTGGCGACTGCCCGCCCGCAGCGACGATCTGGCCTTCCCACGGCCGCCTTATCGGGCTCAAGTTTTCATATGCCAAGCACCCCCCCCATTGCTGGGCGGTGGAGTCCCATGCCTCTCCATCGACAGAGATGGACATCTTATCTTTAGGTCGTTTGGCACCGTCAGTGCCGCAGGTGAAGAAATTGGATGCCCATGCCTGTCCATCGACAGGGATGGGCGGCCTAGCTTTCGGCCTTCGGGCAGAGACTTTCACCTGTCCATCGACAGGGGTTGGCATCCTGATCGCATTTGACACCGCCAGTGCCAAAGGCTGCCGCGGTCGCCATGGTAGCATTGTTTTTTCTTTCGCGGCCATTGCGCGCCCAAGCAATAAACACCCCCGCCCGGGGCCCTAGGCCCCCGCCGATGTGCTAACGCCTGAACTCGTTGCTGCAACCGGGCCCGTGCAACTCCGCGAGGCCCGAGTTTGAGCTCTCGCCCGCGGCCGAAGCGCGCGGCGAGGGTTTTTGGTCTCGTGCCCAACTCAGCGCCCGCGGAGAAGGTCCGCGCCCACCCAATCGGGCTTCGCACCATCCGCGACCAGGGCCCATGACCCCGCCGCTATGCCTGCCCCTCCCCCAGTCTGCTGCGGTCGGCGGCCATGGGCCGCCTGTGGCCAAGCCAAATCCTGAGTGGCTCTTGAGGGTGCTGGGGAGAAAGGGGGGGGCGGAAGGCTCCTCAGCTCAACGGGGATGGGGTCGAGAGCCATGACAGACAGTGCGCGGGCGCCGTCGCGCGACCCACGCCCAGCCGAGGACCTCTGGGATTCGCTCTGCCTTCAAACGTAACCCCTCTGTCAGGTCTCTTGGCACCGAGGCCAAAACCTCGCTCTGTCAGAACGCGGCACGTGAGACTCCTCTTCCAATTCCACCACGTCCATGGGGGGGTTGGATTGGGGGGGACGGGTTGGAAGGCCCCGCAGCTCCCGGGGACGGGGCCGAGTGCCCTGACGGTGCGCAGACGCCGTCTTGCGACCCACGCCCAGCCGAGCACCTCTGGGATTTGCGCAGCCTTCCACCGTCGCCCCTCCGTCAGGTCTTGGCCCCGAGGCCAAAACTTCGCTCTGTCAGAACGCGGCACGTGAGACTCCTCTTCTTCCTCCTCACTCGCCCATGGGGGAGGAGAGGAAGGAGAAGGTTTGTTGAGGCTGGGAATGGTGCCGCCAAAGCGGTCTTAGGATTGCGCCTGTTGGGCTGGCCCGTGCCCGTTGGTGGGCCCGACGGCACCTAAACAAAACCGTCGCCTACCTGACGCCGTCGACGTCGAAGACTGCCGCGCCCGCAACGGCAATCTGGCCGTCCCGCGGCCGTCTAAGCTCACCAGTTTTCGTGCGCCAAGCAAGCCCTAATTTCGGGGGAGGGATGCCCATGCCTGTCCATCGATAGGGATGGGCATCCTAGCTTGAGGCACGATGCGTGGATTCCAACACCTGTCCATCGACAGGGCTGGGCATCCAGACCGGAACGGCGCCTATTTGACACCCTCGATACCGGAGGCTGCCGCGCTCGCTATGACAATATTGTTTGTTTGCTGCCATTACGCGAGCCGTGGCTTTCATATGCCTAGCGGCGCCCTCGTTGCGAGAGTGGGATGCCCCTGCCTGTCCATCGACAGGGATGGGCGTCCTAGTTCGAAGCTCGATGGGCGGATGCTCATGCCTACTCATTGACAGGGATGGGAACCCAACTCAGTACGATGCCAATTGGCCACCTTCTAGGTCTGAGGTCGTCCCGCGGCCACTGGGGCGGGTCGCAGTTCTCGCGTGCCAAGCAAGCCCTCAGTGCGCGGGTAGGGTGACCATGCCTGTCCACCGACAGGGATGGGCATCCTAGCGTTAGGCCGGAGTTTAGATGCAAACTCCTGTCCATCGACAGGGGGGACATCCAGATCAAGACGTCGCCTTCCTGACATCGCCAATGGCGAAGGCTGGCGCGCCCACGACAGCAGCTTGGGCGTGCGTGCGGGCCATGGCGTGCGTGTGCCAAGTAAATCTCATGTACGATGGAGGGGATGCCCATTCCTGTCCATCGACAAGGTTGGGTATCCCAGAACACGCCACGAACAACGGGTGCCCACTCCTGCCAATCGACAGGGGTGGGCTCCCAAGTCGGCACGGCGCCTACATGAGACCGGCGAAGTCGAGGGCTGCCGCGCTCGCAGCGGCAGTGGGGCCGTCAAGCGGCCAGTGAAGCGGGCCAAAAAACAACCAGTGGCGCGCTAGCTGGAGCTAACTTGACGCCACCCGCTTGCCCGACCAATGAATTTCTGGTTGTGTCCAGAGGTCGGAACACTGCCTCCTAAGAAATCGCGCCTTGTTGGCGCGGGGTGCCGCGCTTGCAGCGGCAGCGTGACTGACTCGGGGCCACCTGAGCAGGCCAATGCTGAACTTGAAAGTGGATGCCGCCGCCTGTGCATCGACAGGCACGGGCATCCCAGCTCGCACCTTGCGGAGGGTCTCAAGACGACCCAGCGGCTGTGCAGTGGAGGCCTGCACGCAGGCCCCCCTGCCACGGTCGCCCCTCTGTTCGCTCCACGGGAGGTTCGCCTGGAGTGTTCATCGGAACTGGATGTCCCACAACCTTAGTGGCGCCCCGTGCGTCCCCTGACGATGCGCCCCCCGAGGGGTATAGCACAGAATTGGCACAAGGAGGAGGAGGAGGAGGAGGCGGAGGAGGGGAGAGGAGGAGCGCGGGGCCTTCGTTTTCTTCCAAGCGAGGGCCCAACACCACAGGATACACAGTCGGACCGAGGTCGCGGGAGGGGGGAAGGCTTCTTACAGGCGCCTTTTGTTTCTGAAGAGGCGCGGGCCTGGTCTGTGTATGTTAGGCCCACACCTGCTGAGAAGCAGCTTCCTTCTAACAAGCCTTCGCCCCTCCCCCTACGGTCGGACCGTGGTATCAGATCGAGGTCGATTCGGGGAGGGCACCTTGATGTGTGTCGTGTCTGTTGGATGTTCTCGTGCATTCTGGGGCGGATAGCCTTGCATATTCTGTGTGTGTGTGTTCTGGCCAGCGGAGGGCCTCAAGTTCTTGCGGGATGTTCTTCTGGCGGATGTCCGACTATATACAAAGACCTCCATACAAAGGAGTGCTTTTCAGCCTCAGGGGAGGGTGGCAGTGTATACATCACCACTGAGGACCGACGACTTGATGCACCGCCGCCCTCCCTGAAGGCACACGCAGTGTTCGCTGGAGGGTGTCTGCGTAGATCTTTTCGTGGAGTAGGCTCTTCCCACGACTGGGGGGTCTTTCCATTCATACTTTTAGATGTTCTGCGTTTGGGTGGCAGCGTGTGCGTGTGCGAAGTACGTGTTGGCGCCATTTCACCAATGCATGTTAACGCGGAACTTCTGAGTCGCATCCGCCCAGGCCGTTTTCTGTTATGGTTCGGCATTGAGGGGGACGGCATTGAAGCGGGCATGGAGGGCGACATCGACGGCGCGTGCGAACATTGACGGGTTGACATGGACCTTTGTAAGTTAAATTTTGTCGAGGGTGGTCGGTGCCTCTGCCTGGTGGCTGGTTCTCTGCGCAGCTCCCCCGCCCAGGGAGCTCGTTGCGGGCGAGGACCCGAACTTCTTCGGAGCGCCCTACATCTGGATTCAAGTCGGTGCCGCTTCCTTCGCTCTGTGATCAAACGACAGGTGAGCACATGGAGTGGTGTTGCTTTGGTGCCTGTGCTGGTAAGTCGCTGGTGGGGCAGTTTGGGCCCGACGTAAAATCTCTAGGGGCCTCATCCCTTTAGCCTCCACTTTCGTGAGGTTGGGGAGATCCATGGGGCGGCGGGGGGAGGGAAGGAGAGGAGGTTCAGGGAGGACAGAGGACAGGGGGGCGGAGGATGGACATAGGGCAGAAGGGGGTGGGATGGGGAGCTGAGGATAGACGAGGAGTAGATGGCGGAAGAGATGGGAAGGCGATACAGACATGCCGTGGGAGGGAGGGAGTGAGAGACAGAGGACAGAAATCGTGAACGGAGGACGGAGGACCAGAGAATCATTCGCGAGGAAGGGAATGATGAGAGAGGACGCAGAAAGTTGCATCAACACCTTCCTGGCCGCTTTTTGGGTCGGAGTCGGAGTCGTCGGAGTCGGAGTCGGGGTCGGAGTCGTCGGAATTCGAGATTGAGTCGTCGCACTCGGAGTCGTCGGAGTCCTCGTCTTCGTCGTCATGTCGGGGTTTGTCTGGGTGGGTCTGGCGTGCACCTGGCGTGTGCCACGCTGTGGCCGGGTGTGTCTGGGTGTGGTTGGGGTTTGCAGTGCGTCTGGGTTTGTTTGGGGTATGTTTGGGGTTTGTCCGGGGTGTGTCGGGCGTGTGTTTGGCGTGTGTCTGACGTGTGTTTGGTGTGTGTGTGTGTGTCTAGGTGTGCTTGGCGCGTGCCTGGCGTGTGTGTGGCGTGTGTCTGCCGTGGTGTCTGCCGTGGTGTCTGCCGTGTGTTTGGCGTGTGTCTGAGTGTGTGTTTGGCGTGTGTCTGCGGTGCGTGTGGAGTGCGTGTCGGGGTTTGGTTTGGGGCGTAGATCGGTATGTCGGGATATGTCAGGCGTGTGTCTAGCTCGCGGTCCTCTAAACATGTTTGCGCTATTTAAATATACCCATCCCGAGATCTGCCCGCACTCTATTCTTGTGTGCGCGCGTGCGCTGCAACATCTCACTGGTTCCACGCACAGCAACCGTACCTGCAATTACGGCATACAAGTACGACGCCAGGATGCGTTCCAACGTAATCGCCAGCCCACGTCAAACGAGCTCATTGTTAGTGGTAGACACGGCAAGGTTGCGTGTAGACGGATCTGTTGGTGTAGACATATGCGTTTTCATGTGTCTGCATTGGCTCGCTTGCGGTAGCCAATGTAACATCTCTTAAGGGTATTCTGCCTCCGATCTTCCGGCCGTAGAATGCAGAAGAGGTAAGGCAGGCAGCTAAGTGCGGTCTGAAGGTCATCGTCGTCAGAGTCGGATTCGTCGTCGTCTGCGTCGGAGTTGTCGTGGTTGGAGATGGAGTCGTCGCACTCGGAGTCGTCAGAGTCCTCGTCGTCGTCGTCGTCATGTCAGTGTGGGTCGGGGTGTGTTTGGAGTGTTTCCGACGTGTGTCTGGCGTGTATCTAGGTGTGTCTGTCGTGTATATGGGTGTGTGTTGCGTGCGTCTAGGTGTGTATGGCGTTTGTCTGTCGTGTGTCTGGGGTATGTCTAGCTGTGTCTGGCGTGTCTTTGGTGTGTGTGTGTGTGTGTCTGGCAGCTGTCTGCGTGTGCCTGGTGCGTGGTTGCCATGTGTCTGGGTTTGTTTGAGTGTATCTGGCGTGTGCTTTGTATGTGTATGTGTGTGTGTGCGTGTGTGTCTGGCGTGTGCCTGGCGTTTGTTTGGGTTTGTCTGGCGTGTGTCTGACGTGTGTCTGGCGCGTGTCTAGGTGCTTCTGGCGTGTATCTGGCGTGTGTCTAGGTGTGCCTGGCGCGTGTCTGGCGTCTGTCTGGCTTGTGCCTGGCAAGTGTCTGGCGCGGTTCTGGCGTGTGTCTGGCGTGTGTCTGTCTGACGTGTGTTTTGCGCGTGTCTGGCGCGTATCTGGCGTGCGTCTGGCGTGTGTCTAGGTGTGTCTGTCGTGTATATGGGTGTGTGTTGCGTGCGTCTAGGTGTGTATGGCGTTTGTCTGTCGTGTGTCTGGGGTATGTCTAGCTGTGTCTGGCGTGTCTTTGGTGTGTGTGTGTGTGTGTCTGGCAGCTGTCTGCGTGTGCCTGGTGCGTGGTTGCCATGTGTCTGGGTTTGTTTGAGTGTATCTGGCGTGTGCTTTGTATGTGTACGTGTGTGCGTGTGTGTCTGGCGTGTGCCTGGCGTTTGTTTGGGTTTGTCTGGCGTGTGTCTGGCGTGTGTCTGGCGCGTGTCTAGGTGCTTCTGGCGTGTATCTGGCGTGTGTCTAGGTGTGCCTGGCGCGTGTCTGGCGTCTGTCTGGCTTGTGCCTGGCAAGTGTCTGGCGCGGTTCTGGCGTGTGTCTGGCGTGTGTCTGGCGTGTGTCTGTCTGACGTGTGTTTTGCGCGTGTTTGGCGCGTATCTGGCGTGCGTCTGGCGTGTGCCTGGCGCGTGTCCGTGTCTCGGTGTGCCTGGAGTTTGTTCAGGGTGTGTGTGTGTGTGTGTGGAGTGTGTCTGGCTTCTGGGTTCCTGGTCTCACGACCCCTTTTTCTGGAATGGCTCGTTTCGCCGGTTCCGCGTCTTTGAGTGTTCTTTGGAGCGCGAGGTTTGTGCAGGTTTTGGGAGTATGTTTTGTTATCATTTTTCATCCAGAACTGGCCCGCCAGATAGTTATCAGCCTCTGCGTTATTGGTCTTCGCAGGCTGACCGCGCCCAGGTTGCATGCATACGGGCACTGAGTGCCGAGCCACAGGACTTCCGAATGCGTGCTTGCCTCCCAGCGTCCAGCACTTCTCGTTGTCATTCCCGTGTGCGACTTGTTGACTATATTTGCAGTCCGTTCGGCACAGCTTCGTACCAGGATCAGAAGCAACGTTAGGGAGGATGGGCTCCAGGGGGAACGCATCGTCTCTCGATCGCTCATTCCTCACCGACTGGGGCCTGATTTCTCACCCTGCCCACGAGCGTGCGGTTTCGCACTCGAGACCATATCGCCGATGTATCGGTGATGTATCGCCGATGTTTCTCCCTCTGGGTCGATCCCCCCTATCGTTGCCCCATCATGACATTCGAGGGCCTCCCCCCCCGCAACTTCGCACGGACAGTTTGTGCACGGTCGTCAATTGGAAGTATATTACACAGAAGTCGAGAACTGGTGTCTTCACACCCCCTGTCAGGGGCCAGATCATCCGTTCTCAGGCCCAGGGGGGGGACTCTGAATGCCAGGCGGATGTTTACTCATATCCACCGCCAGGGGATCTGATGTCCTGTTTTCTAGACGGTGGGCATGCACAAAAAAAAAAAAGATCAGCCCCCTCGACGACGCCTTATGGTCGAGGGCCGAATGTCTGTAGAATGGCCGGAAGTCCGTTCAATCGGCGCTCTCGCTTCGGCGCGGGCAGCACTTCGCTAGCGTCTTCGGGTCATGCTATGCGGGCCGCACTTCCGTAGAATGGCCAGAAGTCCGTCCAAACGGCGCTCTCGTCTCGGCGCGGGCAGTGCACTGCCAGCGCCACATGCACGCCGTGGCCAGTCTACGAGCGAACCGTCAGGATGTCTCACCAGCAACCGAGCGACAACCCCACACCGACATGGGCGCCACCTGCACGCGGGCAGCAATTGTTGATTTTTGCATGGGGATTGTTTCGTTTTCTTGCCAGGCGGCGCCACGCGATACACGCGCACAGGGCAATGGTTTTGCTCAGGTGTCAGGCAATTGTACGGAATTCCAGCCTCAATAGTAGCTCGGATCTCTGGCGGCCGTTCGGGACGACCTGGACACCCCAGGAGATGCTTCGACGAGGCCCAGCTGCTGGAAGGGGTAGGGCCGGGATGAACCGTTCCAGAGTGTCCCGGAACGCGCTCAGAGAGTCCCGAGGCGCTTTGGAACGGCCGCGTCGCCTGATACATTCTCAAGAGCCGATGGGTGGGTCTCAGAGATACATACCCGATTTGATTTGTCCTAGGGACCGATTATGTCGTGGTCATGGCTTCGGCTCTGGGGCCCTTCTTGCACAGACTCCAGCAAGTTTGCGTGCACGGAGGGGGGACGTAACGAGGCTCGAGAGGAAGTCTGGACGTCACGCAAGCATGGACTCCTCTGTACGCCTCTTCGGCCCAGCGCCGCTGCGAAATGCCGTGCGAGTGAACTTGTAAGGGTCTGAACAAGAACGCGCATCTTCGTCTTACATCTTGAGGCGAGGAAGCCTCCAGGAGTAAGTCGGGCCTGTCCCTCTACAGGGGGAATGTTCAAGAATAGTCAGAAAATAGTATGGGGACCATTTTGTGAGTATTAGTGGACATATTTGGAGTATTTTTTGAGTATCTTTTATTTCTCGTCCAAAATCCCCCTGTAGGGGGACAAGCCCGACCTAACTCCAGGATGCGCCGGCGACTTCGCAGGCGGGCGCGCGCGCCATCTGCGCAGCGTGAGTCCCGGCGCGACGGGAGGTTTTTCGCCGTGTTCGGCCCTCGGGGGCCCTTGCCCGGCCCTGGGACCGTAGCATTCGATGCTCGTTTCGGGGACCTTCCTGGAGCCCACCTAACGGATCTGTTCGACCCCAGCTCGACTCAAGTTCGACTCAAGTTCGATTCAAGTTCGACTCAGGTTCGACTCAGGTTCGACTCGGGTTCGACAAAGGGTCGACCCACATCGACTGACGTTCGACGCAGCTTCGACGCACGAGTGGAGCGAGTGGCTCCAGGAAGGTCCCCAGAACGAGCATCTAAGTAGCAGACACGACTCAGAATGAAAAGCCGGTCCCTGGGAAAGGGTCGGACTTCCGGGGGCCCCCGTGTTGACAGAGTCAAGACATCGGATGTCTGGGACCCTTTCCGAGCCTGTGGGTCCTTTCTGACCGCCCCCAAACCACTCTGGGCACATGCAGGCCGCAGTCTGGGCCGGGCCAGATCTGACCCACCTTGGCATCCAATCATGATTCTTGCGTTTACGCCGCAGCGCCGACCCCTTGGGGGGCTCCTGGTAGGTCTCTCGG